CTCATAACCTACTCAATCGCCTCCATTTAAATGTAACTTTCATTATAAGAAGACATATGCCTGGGGATAGTGTAGATGAAAAAGTTGGAAGCAAAGCCCTAATGCTTAACTTTTGGCTTGCTCATATTTGAGAGTGGATTATCTGCTTTTGATTTTTTTTGTAGAGCAAGGTGAATCCACTAGAGCAGAGGTCAGCAAACTATGGCCTACAGTCCAGATCTGGCCCACAACCTGTGGTTTTTTTGGCCCACTTTTTTTAGAATTGGTTTTCAGATTTTTAAATGGGTGGAAAAAGAATACTATTTTGTAACACATAAAAAAATACATGAAATTAAGATTTCACTATTCATAAATAAAGTTTTATTGGGACACATTCATGCTCATTTATTTCGATATCATATGGCTGCTTTTGTGCTACAGAGGTGTCATTGAGAACATAGATCATATGACCTGCCAAACCTAAAATGTTTACTGTCTGGCTCTTTACTGAAAAAAGTTTGTTGACCCCTGCCCTGGGGCGTGATTCACCACAAAAGTAAGAATGGCTCCTAGAGACTTGTCACATTTATCTGGAGGTTCTTTAACTTATGCATAACCTCATTTATTTGGACCACAGATGAAAACCTGGAAGTAAGCAAAGAAAGGCTTCAGTAAAGATCCAGTCCTTTTTCACTCTTGAGAAAATTTCTTGTCTTCTACTCTGCTCTTTTCATTTTTCTTAATAAAAGTCTCCCTCCTGGCAAGCCTGGCTGGCTCAGTCAGTTGAGTGTCTGTCTTTGGCTCAGGTCATGATCCCAGAGTCCTAAGATCAGGTCCTGCATCCGGCTCCTTGCTCAGCGGGGAGCCTGCTTCTCCCTCTGCCTGTCGTTCTCCCTTTCCAGTAATTTCTTTCTCTAATAAATAAATAAAATTTAAAAAACCCCAAAACAACAAACCTCTCCTTTTATTCACGGACCATACAGATACATTGTAGAAAGGTAATAAAATACAGATAAATAGAAAAAATGATGTACTCTGATCACTTAAGGACTGTATGAATTTTGGGTTATTTCCTTTCAGTCTTTCTGTTTATTTTTATTTTTATTTATTTATCTTTTTAAGATTTTATTTATTTGACAGAGAGAGAGAACGAGAGCAGGAACACAAGCAGGGGGAGTGGGAGAGGGAGAAGCAGGCTTCCTGCCGAGCAGGGAGCCCGATGTGGGACTCGATCCCAGGACCCTGGGATCATGACCTGAGCCGAAGGCAGACACTTAACGACTGAGCCACCCAGGCGCCCTATTTTTATTTTTTAAAGATTTTGTTTATTTGAGAGAGCACAAGCAGGGGGAGTGGCAGGCAGAGGGAGAGCAGGCTCCTCACTGAGCAAGGAGCCCAATGTGGGGCTCGATCCCAGGACCCCGGGATCATGACGTGAGCCAAAGACAGATGCTTAACCTGCTGAGCCACCCAGGTGCCCCAGTCTTTTTGTTTTTTTAAAGATTTACTTATTTGAGAGAGAGCACGCCAGCCAGAGTGAGTGGGGGGAGGGGAGGGACAGAGGACGATGGGGAAGCAGACTCCTGGGGAGTCCCAGCACAGGGCGCCCAGGGCTCCATCCCAGGACCCCCAGATCATGACATGAGCCGCAGTCAGATGCTTAACTGACTGAGCTACCCAGCTACTCCTACTTTCAATCTTTCTTAACATTACTAAGCATTTTCTTAATTGCAAACTCAAGTATTTTTAATAGTTATGTGATAATTCCATTTTATAAATGTGTTGTGTCACTTAACTATTGTAGGACAGTTATGTGGTTTATAATTTCAGAATTTCAGTAATCTGCAAGCAATGCTACTGCAAGCATGTTTGTAATAAAGCTTTATATGTATTTATATATTTGTCTTTACATGTTGTCTTTACAGGTTGTTTTCCTTTCTGAGACTTCCTTCCTCAGTTTCCAGCATCTCTGGTTGCCCCAAAGTCCGTCCTTTGGTTCTTCAGGCCTTTAAGAGTGGATTCTCTATAGGAATTTTGGCACCCCACCTCCAAACCCAGGCCTGTCCTCAGGCAAAAAAGCCATTGAAAAACTCACTCTATGCCAGTTCTTTCTTTTAAGTGTAGACTGTCTTCCAGTTTGTTTTTGTTGTTGTTGTTTCCCATCACCTTCAAATTGTTTAATATTTGTCCAGAGTTTATACTTATCTGCAGGAGGGTTTAGGTTAAAGGACTACACCTTCAGTTACCAGGAAACCTGTGCAATTCATTTAAACTCTTCAAGAACAGTGACCATATTTTCACTTGTTTTTTTCTCTACAAAATCTAACACGTTGCAGATAATCCAGTAAAAGCTTACTGAGTAAATGAAATGTTCACTTTGTGAGAACTGTTAATGAATCCAGCTTTTCTAACAAGATAATAGCTTATTTGCCATCCATATATCTTTTTTGATGTAGTATCTGTTCAGATCTTTTGCCCATTTTTAAATTGGGTTATTATTTTTTTAAGAGTTTTTAATATATTCTGGATACAAGTCCTGTATTGGGATATGTGATTTCCAAATATTTTCTCCTGGTCTATGGTCTTTTCATTATTATCATTGTCCTTCGTACAGTGTGTTTTTTATTGATGAAGCCAAATTTTTTGGACATCAGTTTTTCTTTTATTGACTCTGCTTTTGATGTTGATCTTAAAAATCATTACCAGACTCTAGGTCGCACAGCTTTTCTGTTTTTTCTAGAAGTCTTATTAGGTGTTAAATTTAGGTGTATGATCCATTAGTTAATTTTTACATTAAGATGTAAGTTAAGGTTCATTTTTTGCATATGGATATCTCATTGTTCAAGTATCATTTGATGAAAAGATTGAAGAGCCTTTTTTTAAAATAATTTTTTATTTATTCATTTGAGACAGATACAGAGATGAGCGAGAGAGAGCATGAGCAGCAGGGAGAGGCAGAGGGAGAGGGAGAAGCAGACTCCCTGCTGAGCAGGGAGCCCGGTGTGGGGCTTGATCCCAGGACCTGGAGATCATGACCTGAGCTGAAGGCAGATGCTTAATCATCTGAGCCAGCCAGGTGCCCCTGAAGAGCTTTTTTTTAATAGCTAACTTTTTTTAAAGATTTTATTTTTAAGGTCTACACCTAACGTGGGGCTTGAATTTACAACCCTGAGATCAGGCGTTGCATGCTCTGTGGACTGAGCCAGTCAGGCACCACTTTAATAGCTAAGTTCTGAATACTTATGTACCCAGCACCAATTTAAGTGTTCTGTTATCTAATTCAACTTTTCCAATAAGCCATGTGGCAGCTGCTGTTACCCTCCCATTACCCTCCCCTACCCCCAAAATTGAGAAAAAACAAGTTTAGATTACTTGTCCAGAGTTACAGAACTAATAAGCTGCCAGAACTATAATTTGAATCCAGTTCTATCCCCTTGTAAGATAGGAGTCAAGGATTAAAATATAGGAGTTACATGAACAAAGTACAATTGAGGAAGATGACTGATTACACTTTGAAGATTAGATTGTATAATGGGAAGATAGGAGAGGATCGCAATATTTTAGGTAAGAGATGATGGTAGTCTAAACAACCAGACAGCTGGTGGGGCACCTGGATGGCACAGTCGGTTAAGCATCCAACTCTTGATTTTGGCTCAGGTCATGATCTCAGGGTAGTGAGATCAAGCCTTATGCCGGGCTGCACACCTGGGCGTGGAATCTGCTTCAGATTCTCTCTCTCTCCCCCTCTGCCCACCCCCCCCAAAAAAAAACAAAACAAAAAATCACACAACAACCAGACAGATGGAAAATGGTTAGATGTTAAGTGAGATAGGAGGTTGATATTACTGACTGGATATTGATGTAAGAAAGGAAAGAATGAAGTTATAAGTGGGGAAGAAAGAAGAGTAAAGTTGGAATTTTGCCCAGGGAATGGGAAGGAGATAATTGGAAATTTTTAAGAGGAGAGAAATTTGGCTCATAAATAGAAATGTTAGAGCCAGTGTCCTAAGCATATATATGGTTTTGAAAGCAATGAGAGTGGATGAGATTACATAGGATAAAGGGTAGAGAGGAGACTACCATGAATAGAGTACTAAGGAACTCTAACATTTACAGTGGAGTTGAAGAGACAAATTGAAGTCTGTGAAGAAGCCTGAGAAAAAGCAGAGACACACAGGAAAGTAGAAAAGAATTTTAAGAGACAAAGTAGCAACAAAGAACAGTATTATAGGAAGGGAGGAGTGCTTTGTAATGTCACATGCTATGGAGTTTTAAAGAGAGTTTTAAAGGGGGAAATTATAGGGTTATATTGTAAGGCCCCGAAGCAGGAAGGCTAAATTTGTAGTAGCTTCAGTGTTGAGTGTTGAGTGATTTTTTTTTTTTTCAGCAGTACTTAACATTAGAAGGCAAAGGGCCTCTGACTCAAGAACACATTGTCAGGTGAATGATAAACTATTTAAACAGTTAGAAATGGAAAGATAAAATACACTTTAGTTTTAGTTGAAGAAGGGAAAGGAGCTACTCTTAAGGAAATTTCAATATTGCTCTCACAGCTGATTAATTTTTATGTTTCTTTGAGGTTGAACTGGATCACCACTTAAATATTTTCAGTGACTTTTTATCATTGGTATAAGATCTACAAATAATGAAATGCTGAGAAGTTTTGAAAAATGTTGAAGTAAAACAGTAATTTTGTAATTGGAGCTATAACAAAAAAAAACAGACTACATTTTAGTATTTGAGCTTGCTTCCTTTATTCTTTACTTTCCATCTGTTTTGCTCAACTAGTAGGGGTTTCTCTTGGCACACATAATAGCCCAAGAACCTTTGACCCCAGGGTTTTAATTTTCATTTTAATGTAGATTGCTATTATGTGCTCTATTTAGGAAAATCTGTCTTCATAGAGAAATCGATTTTTGCCCATCTCAGCTCATGCTAATAGCAGTAATAGCAATATAATATAAAAATATTTGATGCAGTCTGTTTAAATTTTACTGATTTTTGTTTTTGTTATTCAACAGGTTTGATCTGTGGATGAAATGAATCATGATTTTCAAGCTCTTGCATTAGAATCTCGGGGAATGGGAGAGGTAAGTATTTATGAATACTAAGAATGTATACCTCACTTTGATTATTTGAGCCATTGAGACTCATTTTTTTAACCATAAATATTCTTGAAAATAGTGGTTATGTCTTCCACATGATGTGGGTTTTTTAAATCTTGGATTATACAATTCTGTATTGTGGTGATTTCAGCTTTTTTTTTTTTTTAACCCCTAGCAGTAATTTTTAGTGAGATTGTGCCTAGTTGATTTGATCGACTTGGTTTAGAAATTAATGTTTTATATTTTGGTAATGAACCACAATTACTTTGCTCTGAAGAGCCTTTCTTTATCCTTGTCCTGCTGTTTTATATATGTATGATGTTTGCTTTAGCCACACTTAATTGTTCACTATTCTCTCTTCCAAAAATCTCTCCTTGTTTACTGTTTGCTTAATTAACTTCTAATCCTATACAAGACTGTACTGAGAAATGAGAGTCTTACTATTGTCCCATTGCTATCTGTAGAATTAATTACTTCCTCTTCTGACTTCTCATAGATCTTTATACATATTTTTATTATATTACTTTGTTACAGTTCGTTTTATATTAGTCTCCTCTGTAGATTGTTAGCTTTGAATGACTGACACACAGTGAGCACTCTGAATTTTTTAATAGATTTTATCAGTCCTGTTAATATATGATTTTCATTGGGGTATCCCATTTAACTGCACCATAACATAATTTAAGGCATCAAAATGCTGTTTTCCATATACCTAAAGAATATTTAGAAAACTTTAATTGCTTATAAAAGCCCTTGTGGTCACATCTTTATTTTGTCATGTTCTATAGTACTAACATAGTGTGGACTTTGCTAATAGAACATAACAGTGAACAGACATAAGATGTGTAATTAACTGCTTGCTCCTGGAGATTATTTTACTTTGGTAGATTAGAGACCTTCATGAGACTCACTCCATCCAATGCTGTGTGCTCTTCAGATGCAGAAAAAGAGTCCAGTCACTCCTCTGGGCCACAAGAGGGCACCCTGCAGCTAGCTAACCCTTCCCTTCTCCAGAACAGCGTTTTCCAAAGAGTTTGTCATTTTCAGAGGACTGATTTAAGGGTGAGTTAAGGTGCTTAAAGTGTTGCCAAAGTAAACTTGTTAGTCTAGTGCATAAGGTAAAATTCTAGTCCCTCAGAAAGATTTGAAAGGGGGAATAATTTTTTAGTCAAACAACAACAAAAAACTATAGAGCTTCACTGCAGTACAGTGGCTGCTTAGGCATTATTTACACTATGGGCGAATAAAAAGAAGCAGTTGAAAAGGGCTTTTGTTTTGTTCACTGCTAGTCTTTAAAAAGCAGAATAACCTATCTTGAAAGCAGGTTTGAACAGTGTTTCAGCCTAGTCTCTGACAAACTTGATTTTTAAGAGCAAGTAAAGTCACACCATTAACTTAATTCTCTTAGACCCCCCCAGCACTTTGCTTCCTAGATCTACATTGTACATATATTTACCGATTGGCTTATTTTCTCCCTCCATTTCCAAATAGTGGTTGATAAATGCAAAGACATCTTTGCAGTTAAAAAAATGTCACGATCAGAAATAGTTGGAAGAGTTTGGTTAGTTACTTGAGGGTGGAGGAAGTACACTTGATGTTTTTGGAAAAGAGACAAGCTGGGTTGGAATAGTATGTTGATCTAAACTTAAATCTAGGCTTTCTTAATGGAAATTTCAGATATGCAGAGTACAAGTAGCTAGGGTATAGACTGCCTGCTTTTTTGGGCAGATAGCAGTAGGTCAGTGCTTCTGTGACCTTCATTCAGTAGAAATGTATTTTTAAATAAGCTGTTACTCACTAATTAAGTATTTTTTCTTAACAGTTTACCAACTAATTCTGTTACCTCTAGGAGATAGATAAGAAACCTACTCAGGTTTCTGTCTCTGGGTTCTCTCTCCCACAAGCCTTTCTATCTTTCCTCATCTCACAGGCAGCAGGGAACCTTCTGGGATTTCCTTCTTTGCCTGTCTCTCTCTCACCAGTCTTCTCCTCCTTTCCTGACAGGTGAGGTGTTTTGTTTTTGTTTTATCCCAGAATCCATTCATTTTAATAAATTAAAAGTAGCCCTGAGTTTCTGGCTCTTCCGTTTTCTAAAATTGCTTGTTTATTTTTTTAATGTGACATCCTTTTTTAATGGATTGCCCTATTCTTGACTTTTTCTTCAAAAATAAAGTTTTCTTATGTCTTAAGTTGTTATAGATCTCTAATGTAGAAAGCACTGCATTACATACAGGACTGTTTTCAAATGTACTGGGTTTTGTAGATCATGGTATTCTGTGCTGACCCATCATCAGAAGGGCAGTCTTTTCTATTTGGTCATCCAGAAATGGGAACAGATCTGTATTCATCCATTCATAAACTCATTCTTTCCATATTTTTCCATAGCATGTTTTTGTCAAAAAACTTCCTGATTTGTATTACATCATATCACTTAAAAAGAGCAAAGCTCATTCATAGGAGGTTGGACTCAGTTTCATTAGTATAGTGTTTTAAAACTACACTGCAGGGGCACCTGGGTGGCTCGGTCGTTGTGTCTGCCTTCGGCTCAGGTCACGATCCCAGGAGCCTGGGATCCGGCTCCCTGCTCGGCGGGGAGCCTGCTTCTCCCTCTCCCTTGGCCTGCTGCTCCCCCTGTTTGTGCGCTCTCTCTCTGTCAAATAAATAAATAACATCTTAAAAAATAAAACTACACTGCAGAGGCACATACCTGTTGTTTTATACACACACTGTATGTTCCTGTTTATTTTTTAAATAGGGGGAAAGAGGCCCCTGCCTGAAATTCTTTAGGAAACCCAGAATTTAACTTTAAGTCACTGAATTAATGTGTCTTTTGGGGGGAGTATTCATAGCTTAGTATGATAAATAATGCCCCCTCGTTTCTTACACAATAATATTTAAAGAAAATTATGTGCTGAGATCCCAGGTGGTGTGGTGAAGTGGAATACTGGATAGGGGAGTAAGGAGACTTCTGTTTTCTCTGATCTATCACTAGTGCTATGACCTCAAGTAAGACTGACTTCTTTGGAGACAGTAATAAGAATAACCTTTTGTATGAATTACACATATCTCAAATGTTCTAGCTCTGATCTGATCTGTTAGGGATAACTAGAATGGAAACCAGCTACTTGAAGATAGATCATAGTTTTGTCTACATAAATCTTTGTCTTAACAATTCTACCTTAAAGTTTATCCACAGTAATGAATACCCACATTATATAGGCGGAATATCATGATAATATCATTAAAGTTTATTATATCTAGTGGTATTCTAATACTGGGAATTTTCAGAAGTACTGATTAATTAGACTGTGATTGAAAAGAACCATCTTCTATGGTAGTTAGGTGTAAAGAGAATGAACGTTAAAATTATAGAGATTGATGGGTTCAAATCCTAATGCAGCCATTTACTAGCCATATGTGTAACCTTGGTTCTGTTTCCTTATGCAGAATGGGACTGTATTAGGCATCTGTTCTTTGTTTCATGATTCTCCTACAATACTCAAATGGACTTGAAAAAGAAGGCAAATAGCTATAGACAAGATTTTTATAATGAATAATGTCATAGTTCTTAGCCAGTTAAATGTTGCTGGTCAGTATGTTAGTTATGTTTTGTT